CTAAATGTTTCAACACAAAATGTCGCTAGGATTAATTTGAATGTAACAGAAACTCCAAAGGAAGCGACAGGGACAGCACRAAATGCAACGACAATGGCTAAAGATAAGGATACATTAATACCTTCAACTGAGCAACYAACYACRACCACGACAATAACATTAGRAMCACRAAATGAAAGTGTGAATGTGAATAGATCAGCACAGTTTGTAGCTGAAGAGAGATGGAATTCTACAAAACGTACTCTAGATAAAGAAATAACAAATAACAAAACAGATTTGGTAACAGAAATAAAGAATGGAACTACGGCAAGTCCAACACAAAAGGTCAACAATGCTACTGAAAAAGACATCAGTATATTCGAAAATGTAACGCTTCCCATGAATCACACAGATTACCCAACTAATGGAGAGCGGAAGATTCGCTTGAATCCCACTCAAACAGTGAAAAGTTTAAATACATCTTTAGAATACAAGTCAAGTGTGAATGAAAGTAGGGTTGTGGAAGTCAACGGAACAGATTTTAAAAGTGTAATTCAGCGAACTCAAGGACAGTGGAATACTACAACAGCAATACCACCATTGTTGCATCACACTGCGTCAAAGCCCTCTATTACGGTGAATGACAAGAGAGTATTTCATGGTTTTAATGCGACACTAGTTTCAACAAATGTAACAGTTATAAAGAACACTCATGCGACTACAATACCTACAACAAAAACCAACATTTCTCCTACGAATGCTTTGAATGCAACTACAACTTTTGATAAAATGTTGATATATTACGGGAAAACGACTTCACCGCCAAAGCAAGCGAGCAATAATAATTCCACTAAAGAGGAACAAAAGACCACAGTTTGGCCTACAACGTTAAACAAAACAACAGAAAAATCTGAAGACGTAAACGCGACAGGCATCGTTACCAGTTTAACGGGTAAGGCGCATGCTCAGTGCACAAYTGCACTGCAAACTAGCACGCTTAATGCCAAATTAGACGAGACAACTCTTGGCTAGCAGGCATCGCATGCAACCTGCGTAAGTCATCCTTACAACATGGTTACAACTGTCGTGAGGATATTAAGTAATTGTTTAAAATTCCTATACGACAGTTGTAGCTAATTTTGCAAAGATGGCTTGCATGCAATAGATGCAGGCAAAAGTCTAAATCGGCCTTTAAAAAGGTGCAAAGGAATACGATTGACGTCGTAAAACTACGTACTTTTTGTTTCTTTGTTTCTTTTTCTTTTTACCTTATGCTTGTGAGATCATAAATAGCGTTAATTTATTCATTTTCGATAGATCCGCCTTCAAATGCAACCAGTGATAAATCAAGTATCCCGTGGGGACCCTGGACGCCTTGTTCTCGCACTTGTGGTATGGGATTTAAAGTTCGGGCAAAACTGTGTAACCGTACCTCTGATGGACCAGAATGTTTGGAAAAATCTACTCAAGTTTCTTTATGCGTTGTCCAATCTTGTGTAAGAAAGGCACCTTCATGGGGTCCTTGGGGGCCCTGGACAGGCTGTAGCTCGTCCTGTGGTCTGGGAGTGAAAGTGCGAATTCGTTCATGTCGGAATTCCGATGTTGTGTCGAAAAAACGAAGCGAGTGTGTTGGGCGTCGGTTTGAAGTCGAGTTCTGTAGAAATACAACATGCATTCAGAATGGTAAGACTTTGTTGATTAAGATTTATGGATGATTTGTGGTTAGATTGGTAGCAGTAGTCTTGGTTGTTAACTTTGATATTTGTTCGAATTTTCACACAAGCTTACAAAAGATCGCATTTGACATGAAAACAATTTCAACGTATAAAAAAAAGAAAAATACATTTTAAATAAACAAAAGAAAAAAAGTGTTTCAAGTGTTGTAACCGATTGCTTATTACTATTGATGAAACAAACATAAATTGTATCTTATTTAAAAATGCAACACTTCTAATAAAGAAGTTAACTTATTTCAGGTAATAATGAATTCCCCACTTCTCCAGTGACGTTACCTAAGTTCAACACACAAGCTATCCCCTTGGCGTCACACTCAGAGGGCAGAACCAGCACTCTTAATATCCTCCCATCTACAAGTCCTTCTAGTTTGATCAGACCAACACCTTCAGTCACAGCAGAATCAACTCAACTTCCACCTTGTCAAGGAAATAATTGCTTTTCCAATAGCGTTGTCCAGTTTGTTTCAGCTTCTATGGCAACTCCAGCTTTAAGCTCAACCACAAAGTCTGTAAAACACAGTACGTTACAGGCTACATCTGCTGTCCCCAATAGCATTGTGAAGATGATCTCRAAATCTACTAAGACAATCTTAGATGTATATGTACCACCAAGTGACGGTGTCTCAGTTAGTTCTAACGTAATCCGGATGCAATCTAGTGTCAGCGATTTCAGAGCATCTTTGACGTCTTCACTGCCAGCTATCAGTGACGTCAGGCCTTCTATTAGGTCATCGTCAACACGTGCCACAAAGATTGATGTCATGGCATCCAAGATGTTGTCGTCCTCACAGTCTATAACCAATGACGTCTTTTCATATGTGACGTCAACGCTAATGTATGACACTACCAAAGATGTTACGGCCGTCGCAGCGTCTTTATCAATACATTCCATAAGGGATGAAATTGCGCCATCTGTGACTTCATTACCAACACAATCGCCGTATAATGACGTCGTGTCATCCATGCCGTCAAACGCATCATTTGTGCGATCATTGGCATCAACTCCTACTCGAGGAGAGTCATCTGCTTCATTGAAAGGAACGTCTACGCTGTYCGCATCACCTTCGATTCAAATCTCAACAATCTCACCTTCATCTATTTTACAATATGTTACTACATCATTTGCTCTGTTTCAGTCAATCCAAGATAAGASATCGCTTTCAWCARAGAAAGAAATGGGTGCGACAAAGTCACTTGTTGAAATAGAATCGGCTTCGTCTTCAAACGTCCTAGGAACCCCATCATCGTTTTCTTCGACAGTAGTATTGTTGTCGCCATCGTCATTGGGACTTCCATCGCCGTCACCGTCATTATTACCCTTGTCGTCATCTTCATTGCAAGAACCATCACGATTTGCGTTATCAACGTCATTWAYAACGTTATCATCATCGCTATCAACATCATCTGCACCTTCGTTATCGTCATCAATATCACCATCAAAATTGCCGTCGTCTTCACCATCGACAACAGTAACAACAACAACAGCTTTGCCATTACGTCCAAAACCATCAAAATATTCCTCGMARCAATTATCAGCAACCRWGTYATCGYCTTTCMTGTCAACGCRAAAAATAGAAATCACAGCATCTACTGTYTTGTC